GGGCATAGCTTCTCACCAGTTGTCAGTGTTAGCTCCTTGGCTTTGTCAATACTGACTGCCCTCAGTGACTTTGTGACTTTGCATTGATGTTTATTGAATGGATCACAACAACTCCGCTGTAATTTATAGCATATATTGCAGTTCTCTCTTTGTAATTGATCAACAGGCTTGGTTCTTAACATCAACAATTCAAAGTTAGCATCGGAGAATTCTGATAGGTTATGGAAGCCGACACTGCATGTATGAACTGTCTTGTAGCATTCATCTTGAAGCAACAGTCCAAATGTGCACAATGGCAGTTCAGCCATATTCAGTAAATATTGAATCTATATCAAATATAAAAAAAATGTGATAACATATCTTTATAAAAACAAACCTATTAACAAAGGCTACCAAAGATCAAACATTAATAAATTGTCACAAATTTTGATGAGAGAAAATTTTTCTTGAACAAGGAACAAAATTTGTTTTAATAATTATTAATTAGATTACTTTAACTCTAAACTCATAAACATTGTGATTTTTAAATAAAAACTAGATTTATAATGGTTTGGCAATAAAATATTAAACAAAAAATTCATTTGAAAATATGCAATTTCTTGCAGATTTTTCACCAAGAAGGAGGCAAGACACCAACATGAAATTTTCACCATAGCTAGTACTTACTGAGGTTAATGAGTGTGCAAAATATGAAATATGTGAATTACTGTCAACATGGTCATCTGGGGGTCGCAATGCACACAAAAATTGATGACTGTGATGCATAACAGTGCCTACAATGAGTACACTATTATTGATTAACATGAATTTTCTATGAAAATAATAAACACATATATGGTACTTATTAATGGTATAACAAACATTATTCCATGTTTTATAGGTTCTTGGCTATATCGGGTCAAATATTTGTGAAAACTGTTTAAAGTGCAATGTTAGGACATTTTTAGGGGATATTGTATGCAAGCTAAATTTGATATAAAAACACCATTCAACTCAGCATGAAAAAATGAGTAAATGCTAAAAATTTTAGCCTGATACCTGTTTTAAAGTTTTTTGAAATATTCATGTTCAAATATCGCAAAAATGTAAGTCATGTGAACTCGCGACAACCCTTAAAAAAATCATATCTCAGAAAGTTTTTGACCAAATGGCCTAAAAATTTCAGCAATTGCTTAATTTTGTATGTACTACAAGCCCTAAACATTTCAGGAAGATCTGAGATGGTGTGGTGAACATTACTGGTTGAATTGACATGGAATGTGACCCCATAATCAGATTTTTAAATTTTTTCTGCCTAATTTATCTATTTATTTATCCAGAATATTACTGAAACACATGTAAAAGTCATGCTGTTTCTTCTTGGTAAGTGGGAAGTTTTGGTTGAAAGTGTAATACCTACCTTTTCCATATATCAAATTTACTATGGGCTTGAACCGTTCTAATTAAACATAAAATCATTTTAAACCAAATAGTTTGGACTGCACTGTATTGATTTAGTAAAAGTAAATAAAAATTAAACCTAAAAATCTAATATTTTCACTTAACTGTGTAAAGTAAATTAAATGTAAAACAAATATTTCCAACAAACCATGTAAATTAAACTAAATTATATATAAGCTATATATAAAATAAACATCTGCACCACACTGTAAACATTTAACTTAAATTTAAACAAAGGCTAGATCAAATAATGTCAATAAACCGTCTAAAATTAAATTAAATATAAACTTAAAAAACAATAAGGTCACTAAAACATTTAAGCTAAATAAAATATAAATTTAATGTACAGCAAATATTTGCAGTACACCCTACTAGTTAGAACTAAATATAAACTAGGAACTATAAGTATAATTTTACTAGTATAAACTGAATATAAAACAAGTAACTTGAATAAACCATATAAATTGAACTAAGTAGAAACTAAATATAAAACGAGTTATTAATAACCGTATTAATCAAACTAAATTAAAGTTAAAGCAACTATTTGTACTAAAATAAACAAAAGTTAGTTATAATATAAATATAAAACAAAGAATTGCATTGAACCATATAAACTAAATGTCAAGTAAACATAAAACAAATAACTCTATTCGTTCATTTAGGTAGGGTGGTTCTGACCATTAAATGATCTCTATAAATCTTTCATCTCATTTTTCTTCAGGCTGAGATTCTTTATGTGATTTTGTTTGTGATGGTCCTTGGGCTGATGTCTTTTCTCTCTCAACTGATAAATGCGCTTGCTGAGTAACTTGCTGGATTCAGGCAGGAATGCAAGGTTTTATTCCTTCTTGTTTGTTTTAAGTCAAGCCTCATTCTACTTCATGCTTTCACCTTCTTGTGCAGCTGCTATATCTATTTTTGATTGCTTAGAACAAGCAGCCAATTTTGAATCTGATCTCACTTCTGTAACAGATTAGAGTTTGTAGTAGAGTTTTAACTTATCAGTCTAACATTCATATTAGTCTAAATCAGTCTATATCAGTCTAAAATTTATCAATACTCCAATCAGGTGTGGTTTATTAAAAATGGCCGGACAAGACATTAAATACTTACAAAAAGAGTTTAATATCGCGTGTTATAGGCAAAACGAGAGCATTCTTTTACAAAATATCCTTATTTGATTGAATTAAAGTGAAAAAATTAGTTCAAAAATTTGATAAGTTAATATGATAAAATTATTATAACTTATTGTCTAAGATATATACTTTTTTTTTTTTAATAAGTAATGTAAATCTACTATCAAATTTAAAAACTTTATGAGCTGGAAATCTGGTAAACTCTGGCTGTAGTAGCCCAAAGAACATTTATACTTTTTTAAAAACATTTAAAGTTTTTAAAGAATAATTTAAATATGTATAATGAGGAAAAAGGTAATCAGAATACAGACAATGAATAAACACTAAGTTTTTTAAAAAAAACTGTTTATTATCAAAGAAGTATCTTTTATAAATAAGGTAGATTAAAGGTCAATAGAAGTTTTTTAAATTGAATTTTACAGTGAACCCAAGGCTTTAACCATTATCATGTCACAATCAATGCTTAAAATGATTAAAATTTTGTTTTTGAGTTTGATTTTGCGGCAAAGCCTTTGTTTTTCCATTTTCAGTATCAGAAAAGCTAAGAAAGAAATAACAGAACTTGTTGTGGGTTACCTTTCTCCGTTTTCAGTATAACTAAGAAAACCTGAAACATCATGATTCCTATCTAAAGCACTGAACTACCTAAAGTTACAACTTCTTTCAAACTAACTTGAGTTTGTAAATCAGAACAATAAGTTTAACGTAGAAATTAGGTTAATAAGTAAGTTACAGTTTTCTTTTATGCCATATGGTATTTACAGGCTAAAGATGGACAGTCTAAAGATGGACAGTCTAAAGATACTATTTACAGGCTAGAGAACGTGCTACATTTAGGCTAAAGATGCTATTAGAACTTCTTTTATTGATATAAAAGCAATACATCAAATGTACAAATGTTAAAAACTTCGTGCAAAACTAGACGCTTTTTATTTTTTTATTGTATTGTTGTTACAACCCTATAGCTTCAAACATGAGCATTGACAAACTTGGTTTAATTACTATAAAAGCAAATTTAATCAAGAATTCAATAAGCAAAAAAAAAATGACAATAATTAACTTTAACAAGACTTCATAAGATTAAGCTTTACCTTGCCAGTCCACAAAATTTTCTTCCAGAATGTTTTAACGATTATCTTGATGATTTTTTGAAAGGAATGTTTACTTGCCTGGAACTCTTGCTTTAAAGCCACTATCTTTCAATTGATTAGTATGTGAACTCTTTGAATAGTATATGTAATCAAAATTCTTTTTCAAGAAGGCTTGATGAAGAAGGCTTGATGCTTTTGGTGATAATAAAAATCAGTTTTTTTTTGTACAATCTTGACAATTTTTCAATTAATTCTGAATCTTGTTTTATGCTTAGCTCTGGATCTTGGCTGATTTTTCTCACATCCAATTGTTTTTTTACTTTTTAAACAAATCACTGATTTTTTTTATCAACCTAAATGTTTTACCTTGCTTAAACAAGTCAATAGCCAAATTGCGCTGAGGTTTTTACTATTTTTTGATTTTCACTCCCATACTTAATGATGTTAATGGTAAATCAAATAAGTTTGACAAATATCAAAAAATTATAACCATTGCCATTGTCACTTATTTCACTGGAATTACCATGCTCAGTTTGTTTCTCAGCACAGTGACTTTGTTCCTATTTTGGAGTTTTAAGGTTAAAAGAGGGTTGAAAAAGTAGCCTCATTGATTTTTTTTTTTTTTTTGCCCTGTGGATCTTAGGAATTGTAAATATATTAAAATCTATTTACATGTGTATGTGTATATATATGTGTGTGTATATGTATCAGTCTTAGTCAGAAAGACAAGCTATTGCACATCTTTATATGACTACGCAAATAATACTTTGTTTTGATGATTTGACCACGACTGTTTTGAAAATTTAAGCTTAAAAAATGCGCTTAAAAGTTTTTTTAAACTAAATGTAAGATAAAATTAACTAAAGCTTAAAAAATAATATTTAAATCTTTCAAATGATTTCTTTAGTAAATGAAATAAACAAAAAAAGATTCCTAATATATATATATATATATATATATATATATATATATATATATATATATATATGCCTCAGCAGGAAGCGATAGCTCTCCCGCACTCCCCTAAAACAGTTTACAGGAGCAATTTACATCTCTCGCAAAAGTATTTTTTTTTTTTCTCTTAAAAGTTTAATTATCATTGTAACTAAAATGAAAAATGCTAAGTCAAAAAAATTTAATGTATGTGTGTGTGTGTATATATATATATATATATATATATATATATATATATATATATATATATATATATATATATATATATATATATATATATATATATATATATATATAAATATATATATATATATATATATACATATACACACACACATACATTATAAAAAAATAACTTACAAAGATATAATTTTTTTAGAATATGATGCTGCCAAGTTGACTTCTGGTTTGAATGAGGCTGTGAAAAATGTTTTAAATGAAATACTATTAAAAAGAATGCAATTATATCGTCATCAGCATGTGCGTCATTATTTAATAAGTGATTTTTCAATAAAAAATATGAGGCGAAACATGGAAGATAGGCATATTGCATTTACAGACATTAATACACTTTTTGGACTTAATGAAGTAAATTTTGTTATGTTTTTTACTTTTTATTTAGTTTTTTTTTAATTTGTTTTTATATTTTTGTATAGATTTTAACAATGATAGTTGATTTTACTTATAAATAATTTTTTTTTTTGTAATTCTTCTAAATATTAGTAAATATATTTAGTATTATTGAGATTTTTAATATGACTAAAAATTCAATTTTTTGTATTTAATTGTCAAGGTGAAATACCTATTTGAAAAAATTTTATATTTTCAAGTTTGAAATATTTAATTTATTCAAAAATTATCGCTCTAGTTAATTACCACATACCATGTTTTTAAAATTTATTAGAGGTGTTTAAAATTTTAAAGCGACCTAAATAATTATTACGCTCCTTCACTAGAAAGTTTTAAACTTTCTAGTGAAGGAGCGTAATAATTATTTAGGTTGCTTTAAAAAAGTTTAAAATAATACTAAAAGCTTATAATACTATACATAAGTATTAGTAAGTGTTACTTATTTAGTTCTTATAATCATGACAAACAAACTTAATTTTATTAGCTTACAATTAAATTATTTATATTGAGTTCCTCTCTATAATTGCAAGTAAAAAAAATTTTTACTTGCAATTATGGATTAAAAAAACTTTTATAAACTATACTTAAAAGTGACATAGAGTGATACAAACTTTTGTGTATAGTTTGTAAAATTTTACTTTTTATATGGTTTGTTTGTAATTATATTTTGAAGTATGTTTATCAAAAGTTAAAAAAAATTATAACTTTAGATAGATTGCAGCCAATCATTATTTGCAGTATTTGATGGGCATGGTGGTATAGATGCTTCAAATTATGCAGCATCACATTTATTAATGAAGTTAAAATCATCAAAGTTTTTGTTAAATAATCCTAGCATGGCTTTAAAAGAAGCAGTTATGCAAACTGATGCAGATTTTTTAAGCAAATGTAAACGAGAAGTTAGTATATTCTAGCATTTTATTTTTAATGGGTTGTGTCTGCTAACTAGTATATCGTCATACAATAATACTTTTTTTGTAGAAGCTTCGTTGTGGTTCCACAGCTGTTGTTGTGTTAATCCAAGATCAAAATTTAACTGTTGCATGGCTTGGTGACTCTCAAGTTGTGCTGTGTAAAGGGGGAAATGCTGTTCAACTTATGGATCCACATAAACCAGACAGAGAGGTTTTTTTTTAAAAATAAATATTTTCTTATCTAGGGGACTTTATGTGAGCGGTCTATATTCAAAAATCAAGTTTGTCTTAAAATTACTTAACATTAAAAACTTCCTTAAAAAAATAAAGCAAAAGGTTTAACGATTTATTTTTTTTTAATTTAGGATGAGCGGCAGCGCATTGAGACTTTGGGAGGATGTGTTGTTTATTTTAATGGTTGGAGAGTTAATGGTCAGCTATCTGTTTCACGCGCTATTGGAGACTGTGATCAGAAACCATTCATTTCCAGTGAACCTGATGTAGAAGAGTATGAATTGGAAGGTTTCTAACTTTTTTTATTACTATTAAATCAATGTTTATTTATTGTTATGTTGTTTTTGAATAATAATAGCTTTTGTATGCCTCGTTTAATAAAGGCTAACTTGCTTGTATTTCGGTATCATAGGAGATGAGGAATTCCTTATTCTAGCTTGTGATGGTTTGTGGGACAATGTTGAGCCAGTTGAGGCTGTCCAGTTGGTTAATGTCTGCATAAAAAATGGCTCTCGTAGCTCTGCTGCTGAACAGCTCGTCATGCTTGCCAAAAAAAATAAGTCAGAAGATAATATCACGGTGCTGATTGTCTACTTAGATGTTCAAGAAATCTCTTCAAAGATTCACAGTTGATATTTTTCATTGTTTCAATTTTTCGTTTTTTCTAAACTGTATTTTTTTTTACGTCAAGTTTCTCGTGAGCTTAGTTTATATATCTAATAATAATTTCTGTTCTCTTACTTTGCAGTAGCATCAGTTAACTTTTTATATATATTAGTTGCATTTTTTCCATGTATTATATTTATTTGTATACCTTTCATACTTTTTAAACAACTTTTTATGCGAGTTTTCTATTATATAGAACGCATTTTTAAATTTTTTTATACGAGTTTTATAGTTTTTTAAAACTTTTTATGTGGAACCAAAAAAAAATATACTTACATTAGAAGATATTATAGTATCTTACATACATCTCACACATCCATATAATTAGAGCTTTACATTTTATTTTGTGGTTACTATTTCTACTAATATATTATGGTTACCTTTTTATAACAAAAATATTTGTATGATATAAAAAATATTTTTATCCGAATCCCGTGGAAAATATATACCCTATTTAAATATATATGATACTCAACTATGTAAATTAGTTTTTGTTGTTTTTCTTTAATGGCGGTCAACTAACATTAGTTAATCATCATTTTAATTTAGTATAAAGTATTACAAGATATTCTTCGGTATAACATTCATGTTTTAAAAAATAGTTCTTATTTTGAATATACAAAAATTGCTAATTCATTGAACGAGACGTTCATAAAGCACCATAACTTGATAAAAACGTTAAAACAAAACTGAAAAATATATTGAAATGAGAAAAACGCATTACTCCGTTGTTTTTATGCTCTTATTAGATTTTGCAGAGATGTTTTTCTTTTCGATAACCAGATTTCAATGAAATTGTTTTTAAATTTTCTCAGCATTAGCAAGCACCGAGACGTCATTTTCGTTCAACGTTTTCTTGGCGCCGTCGATAGTTTTGATTTTTGTTGGTGTTTTTTTTAGTTTCAGTTTCTTTAATAAACTCTTTTTGTTAAAACGTTTAGAATTGCGTTTATCTCCTGTTGTAGCTTGCTCAAGTGGTAAAGCTGCCTTTGATTTCATATTTTTTTTGTTTTTAAGATTTCTTTTGCTTCCTAATGCATTCTGTTTTTGAGCAATCAGTGATTCTTTCTCGATCGTGTTTTCGCCAATTTTTTGATCATTTTCTTTTGCGTCACCTTCGGTTTTAGAATTAATTATTTGTGCAGCATCACTCGAAATCTAGAAAATTCAATATTTAAGAAAAAATTAGGAACAAATTTAAAAACAATTTGAAAAATTAAAAACAAACAAATAGAAATACCCTGATTCGGTATCAGTGATAATTTCCTACCAATTCTATCGCGTGACCTATGCGGCCTATTTTGTTTCATTTTCCGTAAAAAATTAAGGCCTGTTTTTTCTTACGGTTTATGTTTAAAATCGGGGTGTACCAGAATAAAAATTTCAAATTCAGGAGCCGGAATTATCAATAAAACTCCGGCCGGAACGAGAAGTATATTTATGTTAATTTTTAATTTCAAAGTGAAAGCCTAAACCTTAGCATCGTGGCAATATAATATATATCTATAACATGTAGTATATATAAAGATAACGTATTTCATTAACTTGATTCCTTTTTCATTTAAATATAATATACTGTTTTTACTTATTTTTTATAATTTTATGTATTGAAAGTTTTAACCAGCATGATATTTATACTCAAAATTATTTCCATATTTTCTAATTTTTCTACTTAGGTTCATATTGAAATAATTAATGTAAAAGGCATCCTATATTTTTTAACTATTTAAAACTTAAGTAATATTTTAAATATTACTATTCTCAGAGGCGGACTTTTGATGAAACAAGAGCTGCCCAAAACTGGAGTGCAACTTGTTGCACCACGATATTCCTAAACTTCCAGAAATCCTTACATAATTGATTATTGCAAATAAAACTACATTGTATTCGTTTAGAAATTTGTATTTTTTATCTAGGTTTACCAATAATTCTTCATTGCCATGTAGTGCAATGAATTTTATATTTTATTTACAAAGCCTTTGTCACATGTTTTAAAAGATAAAGATAAAAAATAAATTTCGGCATTCCGGCCTGAAATACTGTCTTCCCCGGCCGGAACCGGAATGAGCTAAAAGTCCCAAATTCCGGCCATAATAAAATTCTAGTACATTCCTAGTTTAAAAGCTTGAGATCTTGGTTATGATTAGATTATAATTTGTTTGAACAGTGATGCATGTTATAATAAATTCCCGTTTGCATTATGCATGTTTTGGCTCCCCTCCCTCTCGGCGGCCCTGTGTAGTAACTCTTTTGACAAAAATATGATACAATGTTTGACTCATATTTAAATATTGTTTTTTTTTCTGACAGTTATATTGGTTTAGTTGGTTAATTTATGACAGTTGGTCGTAAATGACAGCCGGTCGTAAATGACAGCTGGTCGTAAATAAAGTTTCTATTAAAGTTTTTTTGAGGCTTATTCTTGCTCAACTGGTAAAATGTAAGAATGTATTTTAAAATGCCATTTAAAGGTTTTTTAGTCTGAAAACTTGAAAATAACAATAATTCAAGTTATGTTATAATGTTAGTTTTATATTTTATGATAGTAATAAATATTAAAAGTATTGTGTTATAGTTAAAAAATAACTGAAAGTTATATGATATAATAACGAATATTTTAAATGCTTATGATATAAAAATAACAAATATTAAAAAAAAATTTATAGTGTTAATTAATTAATAATATTAAAATATAAATATAAAGTATTTCTACAAAAAAACAAAACAAAAAAAAAACAAAAAAAAACACTTGTGATTTTATTATAAATATTAATAAAAATATTATGATATAATAAATACAAAATGTTACCGTTAATGTGGCAGAAGATACTTGATACCCATGAATTTTAAGAAATATAATGAAACAAATAAGCAAAAATGTCCTCATCTTATTTTGTATCTCAAACTTTTTATATTAGTTTCTATGTAAAATAAAATTCTAAGTTAGTAAAAAAAAGGTATATAAGAGATTAAAATTAATATTATTGGATATAAATTAAAACAACAAAAAAGCTACGGTTTATGAGCATAAAATTTTTCTCAAATTCATACTCGACTATACATTTTTAAAAAGCACATTAAATACACTAAAAATGCAAAAAAAAAAAAAAACTTTTCATGAGCGTATTTGACGTATGTGAGAACATCTTTCGTATTCAGAAAACATTTTTACTCTATTTTTCATTAAATGTTTTTTATAGTTTTATTTTTTTATAACATAAATTCATTTAACTGTAAGTATCAATCTGAAGACGATCAACAAGGTGTGGTTTCTATGATAAAATGCATAATTTAGTACAATGGTATAATTAGTATTTTGGTATAATTTATCATGTTGATCAACCGTAAATTGCGTGGTATTGGGAGAAGGCTTTCAGTTATTATCTAATTTAGTTAAAAGTTGTTTTATTGATCTACAAATTGGTTTGAATTTGAAAGGAATCAAAGATGTTAAAAATAAAAATATTAGATGTGTTTTAGGATGTCAAATATTGAGGGCAATCAACCAATAAAAGTTAATTGTTTTAGTAGTAAATATTTTGTTGTAGAAAAACTACTAGAAAAAGTTTATTTTCGGAAATTTAGCTCACACTAGAGATTTGAAAAAATTTTTAAGTATAAAAAGTGAAACTTCAGACGTTGTCAACAATTATAGCGAAGTAGAAACCAGGATCAAATCAGCGATTAAGTAAGCGCAATAAGCGCCTTGCAGCAAATAATTATACGCAACGATTGCTTTGTTACGATTAATTATTTTCTTGGTGTGTTTTGCTGTTTCACTTGATTCGTACCGAAGCTAAAAGAACTCATTCGGTTAAAGCACAGTTTTGCAGTAAGCTGTGCTCAATTTACAATTGCATAATTGCGCGGCGCTGGTCAAACATTTTTATTGCAGGTGAACAATGTACAACTGCAATAAAAAATGTTAAGGGCGGATATATATATATATATAAATTTATTTACGGGTGAACATTTGAAATATCTAGGTAGAGGAAACCCGATTTTTTTTACAATAGGGTGATGTTTTATTAATTTTTAAAATTTAATTTTTTCCAAATCAAAAATGTTTAAATTTTAACATAATATATATATATATATATTTTTTGAAAGAAATATCAATTGCAAATGAAAAGCAAATTGAAAATAATAATGGATCAACAAAAAATGATTTGACACATTAACGGGTCAAAGAGTCGCAAACTAAATAATGCCTCAAACAAAATATCCATATGTCATGTCAAAATATTCCAATCTTAATAAGGTATATGACAAATATTTTATGATAATATGGTCTTTAGTTTTGAACTTATAGTCTTTAAAATGAAACTAAATTTGTTGTTTCAAAATGGAAATTGGATTGTTGTTGATATTTGTAATTCAACAAAATTTTTAAAGAGATAAATTATATTTTATGTTTGGCGTTAGTTTGAAACTTTGGTTACATTTGTTTAGTAGGAAAGGATACATTTTAAGAAATAAGTCCTTGGGTAAATTATAAACATAAAATACTATTTAATAATTTTTATTGTTATGGAGTTACAACAATGTAAATTGACTTATGCCACTTTTGCTAATAGCATTTTTCGAGATTGTGAACATCTGTTGATATAAGTCAAGTAAAATATGACACACGTGACTTTTATTGTACAGTTAAATTAATTTTAGGACAAAAAAAACTTTCAAAATGTTTAAATAGGGCCTATGTGCTCAATCTATCTCATCAGCTTCGTGGTCAGACAGCGAACCAGTGTCTTCATTATTGTTTGTTCGTAGAGAAGTGAAATACTCGTGGTAACATGGTGGAATGAATGGTATGAGATCGAGCATATCTTGTTTCTTGACCTTTGGTACACATCTTTTCCGGGGATATATTGCATTTTGTACGATACTAACCATGTTACATACCCTTACTTTGTTGGGTCTTAAGTCTAGCTTGAAAAATTCAATATCTTCATTCAAAGTTTCCTTGTAGAACATTATTTATGGGTTGGACCTCTTAAAACGTATCCATTGGATGTCCAGCCATCTTAATTTTCCCCCATCAACGTGTTTGGTCCTATGGCCTAGGTTACTAGGCCCATGTAAACAATTAAACATAACCAAAAAATATAAACAAATTATCTCAACAAAACTCACCAGAGGAAGAGATATCATTTTCTTGTTCACAATCTGGTAAATATTCCGACCCTGAATCAGAATCTTCATTTGAATTCAAGTAGTCACCTATAGATTCTTTATCCATGGTGAAAAAGATTACCAGAAACACACAATGTGGTCAATTTCAGTTCTGATTTGACTTAGGCCACTCAAGACAAACCTGTTTTCATCTCGATTTGTCTCTTTATGTATATTATAAAACACGGAACTTGTAAATATTTGTACGGGTAAATAAATAAATAAACAATAATAATAACAATAAAAAATAAAATAATTAATAATAACAAAATAAAAGAAAATTATTTCTTTTATTTTTGATTTAAAAATATTTATGTTTGCAAGCGTTTTGATGTCATTTCCGATTACTCTACGCCATAATTGGGGCCTTAGTTAAAACTTAGTTCAATGTGAGTTTTAGCTTGAATATAATTATTGTTTGCATATCTAGTAAGATTCTTGTGCTGCATTTTTTTAAATAGCGTTTTAAAAATATTTGGTATTATATCGTTATTAATTTTGTACATAAAAATTAAATGATAAGATATATTTATTTGGCAAACATTCAAAATTTTTATATTAATAATTAGTGGTTGTGAATAAGAGAGACTACTGTCTACGACTAAAGACTAAGACTAAGGTTGTGAATAAGAGAGAATAAGGTCTGCATTGGATATTATTCTCATGGCATGTTTTTGTTTGTTGAATAGATTGATTTTTTTTTTTTCTTGGTGCTGCACCAAACAATGTTAGCATAATTGAGATAACAATGATAAAGAGAAGTAGATATATTTGAGGTGAATTTGATTTAGAAAAGGTTTTACCTAATAATGTATGCCAATATTATTAGAAATATTATTTTCGATTTTTTTATTTTTATGCGATTTATCCATACTAGCAGTAAGCAACCCGTAATACGCGTTGTTAGTAAATAAAATTAAAAAAAACCGCGTAAAGAAAAGCCTAGAAACTACTTTAAAATAGAAAAGCCTAGAAAATGACGTAGTTCGACTAATAATATTAAATTAACGTATTAATATTATCAGATGATAATTTCGTCAAGAAGAACATCTAGAAACTTTATTGAGTGTTCTCTTTTTATAAATTGATTCCCAATGCTAACATTTGGGAGCTTTAGACGAATTTTGTTCATTTGATAAAGGCAATGAAAAAAGCAATACTTAGTTATGGTAAAGTTTAATGACAATTTATTTGTATTAAACCATAAATGATTAAATTGTTTTAAGGAAAAACACCAAAAATCTTCCTGCGGAATATCAATTTTTTAAAAATTTATTTAAAATGTAAAATGCTTATTTGAAATGTTATAAAATTTTGTATTATTTAACTCTGGTATACTATGGAGTCCTAATTTTGACTTTAAATTCCAGACCTATGAAACCTCGAACTTTTAAATGCTATTTTTAAGTGAGGACTTTGTTCGGCGTCAAAATTTATTTAACTATTGCAAAAGCATTTTGACAGTACGAAATTCCTCAAAAAGTAGAAGAATAAGAATTACTATGACCAGCATATAATTTTCTTTACTTTAACTTATTAAGTGAATAAATTTTTAACTTTGAATGAAAAAAAGTTTTTTAGAAAAGTTATGGGTATAAACACTTTGTGAAGTTGATCTATAATCACATAATTAAGGAAATGTTTTGATTTTATTTAAAACAATTTGAGGCAAACCGACTGAGCAAAATTTCAAAAAAGTTCAAAAAGAGACTTTATAAAACTTTATAAGTTCTTTTTCAAGCAGAAGTAGTTGTATTAAACAAAGTTAAATTTTCATTTATTTCATTTCATTTAAATCTAAGTCATAGATTGTCAAAGATATTTTTTTTAAATATTTTTATAAAATATTTTGATTTAAGTTTTACTAACTTGCATTAACAACTTTGAGTAGCTCATTATGTGTGTTTTGTATCGTTTTCTTGCAGTTCGTTCATCATGAATATCATGGTGCATTTGCTACATCGGCATTTACCAAATACTGTAAAGCATTTAAAATCATTTGACAAGTATGTGGCGAAAATGAGCAACAGGATGCTGCACAATTTTTATATGTTATACGAAATCCAAACACACGTATTTTAAGTCTTATAGATAAATTTATATACAATAAATTTTTATAGAATGGAAAGAAACCCCTTGATGATATGTTTTTCTACATATCATCAAGGCGTGCCTAATGATAGTGAAAACGTCCATGAACTGTTTCAGTTTAGTGTGGAAGCTGGTGATTAACATATAGAAATTCATTTACAGACTTTGGCTAGGAATGCACGTAAAACATTAAATAGAACCCAGAACAAGCTGATAATGATTTATCACAAGTTGACACAGATTGTTGAATCCTTAAACAAATCTGCAGTATGTTTTGTATAAACAAATCTACAGTATGTTTTGTATAAACAAATCTACAGTATGTTTTGTATAAGATTCTAGCGGTAAATTTATAATCCGCATTTTCTTAATCTAGTCGTTAATGAATTCAATTCAAAGTTTTTTCAAGAAAGCACAAAGTGGAGTTATTATTAACTAATGTGTCATTGTTGTGTGAAACGCAATGGTCTGTGAAGTGTAAAACGATTTGTGTTTTTAGCAAAAATTTTGAGGAAATTTCCAATCAATTACAAAGTTTGACAACAAACGGCAGTGGTAAAATGCAACAAAGTATTGTTTATGTGTTCTTGTCCTTTACCAACTTTTGTCTTTTCGGTTATCTCTACATACTTGGCGATATTGGAACCCGTTGCTAAAATATAGAAAATAGTACAACAAGATTTATAGAGTACTCAGAAACAAACCATCAC